TTTCTTGCTGGATTTCTAGCTAGATTAGATTCTTACCACAATATTGGCTGCATATTGGAAGCCAATACGATGGTAAGATTCTAATCTGGCTAGGAATCCAGTAGGAGAACAAGCATGCCATGTGCTTAATTTTGGATTACCTACCATATTTAAAGTTTCGTTATGTGTGGGATAATAGCTTTGGGTATTTAAAGAAATATTTAATAAAGTGAAATTGTTTTCAATTTTTTCTTCAAATAATCGGAAATGCTCCTGAAATAGCTGAATTTTCCTAAATTTCTTTTAAATATTTAAAATAGTAGTAGGGGAGGCCGAGAGGCTAAATGTGGATTTACTCGAGCGTCGTGGGAACCTATTGGATTGTGAAGATTAGATGCTAAAAAGAAAAAAACGTTATATGATGTATGCCGTTTCAGTGGTGGGGGGAGCGTGTACAGGCTTTAAAAAAAAACAGTGACAATGAAATACTCGAGCGTGTCAGATATTAATAGTGTAAGCGACCCATGATAACGGATAAATATTAATCTGACGGTTTACGTGTGGGGTTAGCTGTAGGAAGGGGTCGAAAAAGGGGGAAAAAAATTTCCTCGAGCGCGTCAGATTTTTTAAATGTACACTTTTCTACATGTAATTAACACACCATACCTTAATCTGACGCGCTCGAGTTTTCGAACGATCGATTTTTTTTATTTACTAATCCCCTGGACCCCCGGCTCTATATAGAGGTTTAATATTTGGTGGAGGTACTTATTAGGGTGCAAGAGCTTTCCCCCTTTATGTTATTCTGACGCGCTCGAGTAAATCTCAAAATCCCCGCTTGGCCTCCCCTACTATAGAGAAATATTTGTATATTTAGGAAATAAATTCATGGATTCGATTGATATCAGCATTATATAAGAGGATCATGCTATTAGATGCGATCGTATCCGGTAAAGATGTAATGGAAACTTCACCGGGTGATGATTGCATCCAATATCAAATCCCTGTACATCTAACGTTTATAGTTACGTGCATATCGCTCTGCTAAGTATTGTTGTTAGGGTCGAGTATGTGACTGGTACGCAAATGAGAAAAAAATTTGTGACTAGATCATATACTCGTCTTTAATGGCAAGAGATATCACCTGAAGATTCAGTTCACATCTCGTTCATTTATCTTTGGTGATCTAACTGTATGTCGAATCAAAATATCATAAAGCTAGATCAGCAAAGGAAAGATGCTCGAGACATAGCAACATAGAACATTGTCGCCGATCGCAATAGATACGTTTTTCACAAGAATAATTTAATGTTAGTATTACTAATACATACAAAATAATATATATTTTTATAGAGCTTGTTTTATCGCAGCATTAATATATCAGAATGTCTTTATTATAAAGTAACGTATAAAAGTTGCTGGTATTCTAAAAAAAAAGAAACGAGTGCCTTTGATTACATTAAATTTACATAGTGCTGCAGATTGTCATGAAAGTAAACAACTTTTAATCACAGAGTTCACAGGAATTTTTACTGTGATATGTTAATGTAAGTTAATCATATCACAGTAATAAGTTACCTAATTCTCTGTTAATTATTTTCATTTTTTGGTATGGTTTTTTTCTAGCAAAAGAGTACCATACAATCTTTTTAGAAAAAATAATAAAATACATTTTCACACTAGCTGGCAAAATAGAGGTACACCATGAGATGGATATACTCCAGTTTGACTTACATTTTTACAGTCACTGGGTAATATTCGTCCCTTGTATGTACTAAATAATCATCTTTCTTAAAGCGTTCATATTAGCATTCTAGACTTATCATATTGTTACAAGTGCTCTATGTATATAATATGAATGTAATTAATATTAATCATCTTATTAAGTAACAATATGGAATACAGTAGATGAAATAAGATTAGAGCTCGTGAGTGCAATCTATTTCATGTAAAAATGTAAGAATTACCAACCTTGTTTACGAGGCAATTCCTGAAGTCTATTTGCATGTCGGAAACTGAAACTCTGTCATGAGGTCTTTTAGGTCCGCTGACACTTGAAACTACAGTGTTCAAATCCAAAGTGACTACCTCAGAAAAGATTGGATCTTGGCTTGGGTCATCATAATTCCTTAACATGCGTACGTTTTCAAGATATTTTTCAATCTTATCAATGTGTTCCTCAGATCGACCTAAATAGGAAAAAATATATTATATAAAATATTTTTAAACTGTCATCATATTGTAAAAGATGTTTATAAAAATATATAATTACTGATAAAGAAATGTTTACCTGTTTGTTTGAGATATGCTAAACTTTGTTGATCTACTGCAAAAAAGCCTACGGTTGCTCCGTATTCCGGACACATATTGGAAATAGTAGCACGATCAGCGATACTTAGCTGCGTTACGCCTGGACCAAAAAATTCGACAAATTTTCCAACTACTCCGACTTGTCGAAGATTCTGCAAATGTGTAAAATATTATAAGTTTATAAGATTTTATAATTGATACTTATTAATATTATATATGAAATATATGGTATATTCTATTATATACATATAAACTTTATCTATTAAGAAATAAGTAAAATTGTACTCTTATAAAAATATATAAAACATTTAATATTTAATAACGGTAAAAATATCTCTAAAAAGTTCCTATTGCTTTTCTGAACCTCTACTCAGAAAATTCTTACCTTTGTAATAGTTAAAACAAGATCAGTAGATGTGGCATATTGATTCAATACACCTTCCAATTTATATCCCACGACTTTTGGTATTAACATGGAAATTGCTTGTCCAAGCATAACAGCTTCTGCTTCAATACCCCCGACTCCCCATCCAAGTACACCCAGACCATTAACCATGGTAGTATGAGAATCAGTACCAACTACACTGTCAGGATACAGAAGATTGTTGGAATTAAATACCACTCTTGCCAGATACTCTAAGTTCACTTGATGTACAATACCGCTTCCAGGAGGAACAATTAACATATTTTTAAATGCCTTCGCACCCCATTTAAGAAACATGAAGCGTTCTTTATTTCTCTCAAATTCGAGTTCTTCATTCTTTTTTATGGCATCATTACTGAAACATGCATAATAATAAGATTTAAACCAAATTAGGTAATATAACACAAAAATGAAAAAAAGATTCTTGGATATTTTTTATATTTGTATCTTCTTTCCCCCATTATTAAGTATATTACATAAAACTTCTTTTTTCTTGTAACACATTCAGTAATATTAGATTACCAGATTATTTTGTATTAGCTTGTGATAACCTTTAACTCTCCATTTAAAAAATCAAAACATACTTGATAAAGCAATAAACTATACCTTCTAGTAAAATCAGCTTGTATTGAATGATCGATTACAAGATCCGATGGACAGACTGGATTAATTTTATTAGGATCACCACCGAGTTTCTTTACAGCATCTCTCATTGCTGCAAAATCCACAACTGCTGGTACTCCAGTAAAGTCCTGTTTGTAATTTAATAAATAGAAATAAGTATATTTTTTGCACATAATTAAATATAATAAAATATTTATAAAATTTTTTTAGGTATTTTTTTACCTGTAATAAAACTCTCGCAGGCTTAAAGGCCACTTCAACTCCATCTTGAAGAGACTGATTATTTTCCCAATCCAAAATTTTCTCAACATCGAATTTAGTTACTTGGAAATTGTCACAATTACGTACAGCACTTTCCAAGAGAATTCGGATGGAAAATGGTAATCTGTCTATAAGGCCAATATATATATAAATAATATTTATTCATTAGATATGAAATGAAAGACAAAAAATTTTTACCATATTGTGTGCCAAAACTGCCAATATCATAATATTGGCAGTCTTTCAATCCAATTTTAATAGATTTTAACAGACTCTTGTAAGGATTTATTTCTGAAATAAAAAAATTATTTAGTTTATTTTTATTATAAATTAAAAAATATATAACACAATATATATAATTTCTACATTTTTATTATGGTACTATTAAAATAAAATAAATAAATTGTAAAATTAAACATTAGAAAGAAAAATAAAATTATTCCAATTTAATTTTTATTAATATTTTTCTTTTCTTTTAAATTTAATTAATATATTTTTTCCTAATTACAAAAATATTAAATAAGTAAATATTTAGAAGACTATAATTGCATTAAATAAGTTCTTCAATTTTAAAATTTATCTTTTTTTTATATACTGCAACTTTTGACATTAATTATTATAATGAATATATAAGAAACTATAACATTTTATGTGATATATTCTTTGCGTTTGTATTAATTAATATGTAACTCTTTAAAAATGATTGTTTTTTAACGCTGAATGATTTATTATTTATATATTGCAACTTTTATCCTCACTTAGAACACCCATGAATTTTAATTTCTTTTAATTCAGATATTATTATAAAATACGCAAATTAATATTTTTCACTGGAATAAATTGATCTGATGCAATGAGTTAGCGATAATAAATCCGTTGTCTTCACTTGTTTACATTTAATTTTTTAACAAAATAACGGCGACAAACAAGTACACATCTCACCACTTACCAGCCATGATTGTCACTGAACAAGTCACGTCGGCCCGTCGCACGATACGTATATAGCGCTTATATGGCTTATACTGAGTGTCCCGGAAACACCGATATCCGTAATTGCAACACGTATATGATTTCCTCAGCAATTTCTTGCCAGCGCAATCGCGGAGTGATTCTGTGAATGAATCGTTTTACACATCGAAATCAGGCATTAAGCGCGAAAACGTGAAAAGAAAAGAACTGAAAGAAATAATAGTTTCATCAAGTTGCGTAATGTAACACCTCGCCCAAGTTAATTCGACGCATAATTTTCTCAATTACGACGGAGAGGAAGGGCAAAGTTCAGTTACCGCGTAATGCGATCGTCAAGCGACGCTGGGTATATGGGCGATCACGTGGTACGTACATGTGCGCAGTTGCGCACGTGTACGTGGCGCGATGTATCGCGAGACGTGAAATATCGCGATCTGTCACACTGTGTCACACCAGCGAACTGGCAAACTTACAGCGATATTCGCGTGATAACCTGATAATATAATCGTCGGCCTTCCCTTCGACATCAAGTTTATTTTTCAAGAAAACCACGGATCTCGCGTGTTGATTTTAGTTTTACGAGCGTCGCGCGAGACTCCAGGGATGGAACGAAACTTGGTGAAAACATTGGATGACACGTAAGCGTGTGGTTCATATGGGTTAGGAAATCTTTTTCGGTTCTCAAGATTTTGAACACTTTCGAATTGTCATGTAATAAATATTATATTGTAAATACTATTTAGGCTCGAATTTTTGTATTTTTTTTGTGATGTAAAAGTTGTGTTTTTCTAGCTATGGGTGGTTTTGTAGCAAGTAAAATTACCACTACAAAACGATTGTTTTAATGATGAATCATAGCTATAGAAACACAATTATCACGTTGTTATCAAGTTAAATGAGTTTAAATACACGTTATTAATAAAAATTAAGTTTAAATACATTTTGTGTATCCATCTTTGTTTTTATTATTAAAGGAATGGAAGAGATTACTTTTTAAAACTAACAAGTTACAATTACTCGTTATCGAGTGGAAAAAGTAACTAGTTTCTGATATTATTTAGTTACCAATTTTTAAAAGTAACTTGTTACAGTTACCGTTACTTAAATAAAAAGGCAACTTTTTATTTTTCTGTTACTTTTTAAAAATCTGTATAAAAAATGTACTTTTGCATTATTTTTGTTTAAATGTCAATAATAGCAGTGTACAATAATGACACACTCTTTAGTTTTTTTTTCTTAAAAACATAACTTCATAATTCTGAAACCTGTAAAATATGTGACAAATTGACAATGAGCTATCTATCTGATGTACCTATCTCGTAAAAGTATAAAATAATTCCAGTCAAATCAAAATCCAAACATGCAAAGTAATGATAAAAGTGACTGTAAAATTTGTTACTGTTACAAAAAAATGTAATTACTGTTATATAGTTATTAAAAAGAAAAGGTAAACACAGTTACCAATAAAATTATCCAAAAAAATACTTCTAACTATAACTTTGTTTAAAGTAACGAGTTACTTCCATTCTCTGATTTATTAATTGGTTTTGTATATTTATCTAGTAAAGTTATTATCATATCTTATAGGCATGATAAGGAAGGAATCATTGGCTGTATCTTGGCTGATCATGCTGGTCTCTGTCTTGGAGGTAATAAATCATTAAAGACACAATAAAAAATTATAAACGTGAGAAAATTTCAAGTATTTATATGACAAAAACTTTATAAAATTGTAAACTTTTGTAGTTAAGGGTGATGCATCAAGCGACAGTGCCGGGTTGATAGCAGCCATAGCAGATCTAGTTGCAAAATTGGAACCAAAATCTGGGTCACCAATTATATCGCTTCAAAATGATAACAGGTAAATAAAATGACAAACAAATTTACGACACTTCTAAAACGGAAACTTCACTGAATTTTAGGCAATGTATTATACTTCGTAAGGAACCCGTAGTTGGTGCTATATATAAAGACATATCGACTTGAAATAATCACTGTTGTATACATGGCTGAAACTTATTTATAATAATTGTATTCAAAATGAGATCTTTTTTACAAAAATATTTAAGTATTAAATATATGTGTGAATTGTTAATAAAAGGAAATTTTTAATAGATGTAAGATATGTGGCTCTTATCATATAGGGATTTATAGTCAATTTCAACTAGTTGTACAAAAATAATTATTTATATATATATAATCTTTTAACATTTTACAAGATCTTACAATGAACTTGTAGTTAATTTGTACATTAAATAAAATAATTTATATTACATGAGAATTTAGGATCAGTCGCTCTTTTTCTGTTTATTTCTTCTTTCATACCATTTGCTTGTGGCAAGCTGGAGTAATTCATAATTTTCATATAGCCAAGATATAAGTACAATTATAAACATTATTATGCCAATCAACAGGTGTAATATTTTTTCACTTGGGAAGAAGTAAGTCTGAAATAATGAAAGAGATTACTTTATCACTGTGCGATTTTTGTGTATACACATATAAAATTACATCGTGGATACTTTACATGTGACAAATTAGTGACAAATGCTGAAACAAGTAGACATGTGGAGAACATGGGCTTTGGTACTAGTCCACGTAATGGACGATAGATTGTATCCTGATGTCTTTTATTAATGAATATTACCGAATGTATGATTCTCAGGCTCATGTTCACACAGTTGCCAAGAATAAAGCCGACCGGACCAAACCAGATAGCAAAAAGATACGATGCACCCAAGAATGTGATTGATTGGTAGACCATGATCAAGTTACTCTTGTTTATGGTCGCACTGTCAGCCGTTGCATTAGTGTAGCATTCGGTTACGCCATTGATTCCTAACAGTAACACGGCGAGGCAGTGTGCTCTTAGCAATAGAACCGGTAAGGGTAAAATCAGCTTCGAGCCGCCGTACAACCAGAGCAACAGACTCGAATAAGATTGACCGAATACTAGAACAACCAAACCGATACATGTAACAACAGAACACAAATGTGTCAATACATTCACACTCTCTTGTACTTTCACCTGAAAATATAGTTTATAAATAGGTACATAAAATTTTATAGTAAATATAGAAAGGTGCAATAGACACTCACTGGATTCTGATCGGAGATCGTTTTATCCCTTTTTACCATCTGTGTGAAATAAAAATATCCACTATCTTCGATTGGACGGAAAATAAATCTAGCAGCTAGCGAACCCATGTTATTCACAATCTCGTAGACTCCCTTAAAGAAAGAAAAAAATAAGCATTTAATGACGTCATCACAGTATACGCAAGTATCTCAAAATTCGCAAATTATAATACTATAACAAAAAAGGTCTCGAAAAATTAAATATATATATGTGTAAAAGTTATTCGTAAATTTTTATTTTAAGCAGTAATTTTTTTAGATGATAAAGGTTTAAATATGACTAATTACAGATTATGTTTAAACGGTTATCTGATCAATAAACAGGTGATCTCCTTCCCCTCCTCCCCCGTTTAAACGTAATCTAAATGGCTATACTTCCAAAACCATTATTATTTCAAAAATTACCTTAAAATCTAAGTTTATGATGAATAGCTTTTTAACTTAATTTTTCGAGAACTTTCTTACTATAGTACTTTAATTCACGAATTAATTGGAAAATACTTTGTATATAGATACAAACCTGTTCTGTAAATGTCAATACTGGCATTATAGTCATGATCAATCTTTCGCCTTCCGTCAAAATTTGCTTTAGAATTCCTTGCCTAAAGAAGCTCCAGGTGAGAATAGTCAACTTTTTATCAAGGTACGAATCCTACGGGGAGTAACTGTTGTATTTTTCTTACAAAATAATAATATAACAATGCAATTATAGTACATACATTATTTTCTAGCTGGCCGGGTAAAAATTCTTCTATAGCATGAAAAGGAAACTCCCTTATTACATATTCATCGCTGTTGTCTTTTAAAGACATTTTTCGTTTCTGTGAGCATTTGTTCAGTTTCTTGATATGGTGATGAAAATATGCATAATGACTAGTGGTATAAAATATTGCTGCAACAAGTTGAGCGATGCCGAACGCAAGTAATGCGTTCTCAGGATAATACAATATCAGCGGGACAAATGTCATAGTGCGAATAACAATCATGATTGTATCTAGAATTATCTGGAAGAACAAAGATAGCAGTGAAATACACATCTTTTGAAAATTCTTATATAATATTTTTTGTCTGTATTGCCTTACTTTAAGCCTGACAAAGAGAAATGCACTTGCAACTAATTGAACGACTAAGGAAGACAGTTCTATAATACATGACAGTCCAACTGCCCAAACTGCAAACGTGTAGTATGGTGGTAATATCTCTGTAGTAGACAGCAAGAACAACCAAATGTATCCAAATAGAAAGGACATTACAATGCATATGGGTACTCTAAAACACATTAATTAATCCATACAATTTTGTTGGAAGAGAACAATCAAGTCTTTCAGAAGACAAACTGATCAATTCCACATTTTTCTGTAATTTCCCAATTTTAATAGCACAATTAGTTTTACAACTTCATCAATTTTTATATATTACTTATATTATGGGGCTGATCAGTATAGTTTCCGAGATGATCAATTATCATGTATACAATAAACTAACGTCAGCCACAGTAGATTCACAACTTGGGCCCAATTATGCTCTACTGTGTTAGTCAGACATGCTTTCACAAATGGTTCGCGTGATAAGAACAGTATCATAGATTCCAATAAGAGTAATCTCACATTAATGACACCTAAGATTGCCTGGCCCACATGACGGACAACAAACGCGTTCAAGACAAATGTAACACAGCGACAGAATATCTGTAAAAAAAAGTTTTTCTAAAATTTTATACGACATAGACATAGCACTGTCAATACAAAAGCAGATGCCTCTAATCAGTACTCTTAGATTAAAACAAATGTTTCAAAGTACTCAGATTGCAAAAAAAAAAAAACCGCTATACCGGTTTTATCAACATACTTGAAATACAATGCTGAAGGAGGCATTCTCCAAGCTGCTCTTCAGGATATTCGGCGGCATTTTCAGATCGATTCGACAGAAGCATATGTGTGAACGTTTCGAGATTCCCGCCGGGAGACGTAGAGAAACATTAACGTAGCCCCCTCTGCCAGGTAGGTTAGGGAAGGTTATGTGAGATGACTACGAGCTACTACGATCACAGGGACAACCAGGACAACGTTCGCTAATCATCGTCACGGTTTCGTACGTATTACCGAGCCCTTTGTTTGCATAAGATCGATTATGTCACAGCGGTCGATAACCGTAATTAGTGTGATAACATTTCGCGATATAATCACGTCGAAATGTGAGGACGTGGACCGCGTAGATAAACTGAGACAGACGTTATGGATTTACACGATGCTATTTTTCGCTGCGTCATGTAAACTGATCTCGTCGCCGATTGAGGATGATAATCAAAATTTAACTTATTATTATAAATTTCGATTAATTTCTTAATTGCATCTCGTAACTATCTTGTTGACATAGATTTATTAATTTTTTGATGTTTAATATAAGGAAAGTTTAATTTAAAGGATATATTAGAGAAACGAGGAATTTTACAGGTATTATATATGAATAAGTGTCAAATTTATTATGAAAATGTAAATATTTCTAATTAAATTCCAAACATTAAAAAGAGTTCACATTACACGTGGATTTAGAAACGCTTAGTTTCTGAGGTAGAATAAATTTTTTATAAGTGCTTAACAATATCAAACAATGGAAAAATAATAGAAAATATGACAAAATTCAAATCACATAAAAACAAATTTAAATGTTTAGTAACAGAATTTAAAAAAATCAAACAAAGTTTAAAAGAAACAAATGAAAATGTTTTGTTTATAGATGCATTTTTTCAATGTTGATCGATGGGAATACGTATCTATATAAAATATTTGATACTTGTTCAAATATATCCTGTACACACAATTTAAAAATAATATTTTATATCTGCCAGTTATTAAATTACATATATGAGCTGTTTTCTTTAAGTGGTATAACCCATGAGACTGCACACAATATTTATAAAATATTTACAAAATATTTGTATGATTTATTACACAGAATATTTAGTCGCTATACTTTAATAATATTTTGAATAAAGCTTTATATAAAATATGTATAAAATATTTATATAACATTAAAAAAAATGATTAGTAATAAATATTTAAATATTCTGTGCTGTCTGGAAAGTCCAATTAAAAAAAATGAGTAATGTGTAAGATATCAACGTAAGATCTACGTGTCGGGCTGTGTGGCTCCGCGGCAAGGCGGTGGCTTTGTGACCTTTAAAAAAACAAATGGTTCATCTTAATTACTGATTGACTGAAATAAATAAAAAAATTCCGCGAAGAAAATTAATGAATAAATGTAATAAATTGAAGTGCAATTTACTTTACATAACTTGCTTTTCTATACATCATTAGTTTAATGCTCCACTAATGTAAATTAATCAGCTATAATCTCAGTTTATTAACTTATTTTTCATTTTTTTTTTAAAGTTAGAAAAAGAAGAAAAAATGAGGAACAAGTTGGATCAAGATTGAGACGTTCATCTCTCTGTGTGTATTGGAGGAAACAGGCGCATAACAGATTTTAATTAAACTTAGGTAAACATACGATTATTTTTTGTCTGTTTGGATTCTGTTGTTTGTATCTTTGAGTATTATCTTCATTCGTATAAAGGATCACGTAAACGTGAACGTGTCATGTTGATTTTTACAGTTTGTCCAGCACGATATTATAACGTCGAATCATCGTATGTTTTGTTATAAGTTTGCAGAACACTTTTCCAAGAAGAAATTATCTTATAAAATTATATCAATGCATTTTTGCTTTACGTCTTTTTATAACATATTTTTCTTAGTCCGTTCTTCTTAGTTCGTTCAAAGTCTAAGCGTGCAATTTATTACTTTGTCATAAAAAGGAGGAGAGAGGGAGAGAGAGTGCGAGAAAGTATTGAATATTTAAATGAAGTAGGGCATCACGATTCACTAATGTGACGGTTGAGCAATTTATGTTATATATCGCTTGAAAACCGATTAGCTTAAAGTCCGAGTTGCAAATTGCTAATGTGAATGATCTTTTGCAACAGGATTATGTAAATTATAAATCGTCAGGAAATGATTTTGCGACGAAGGATGGTGGAATCAATAGACATTAAATCACTTATTTCACAGAATTTTACAGAAATAAAATGTGTCACACAAAAAAATAACGTGATGTTGGTGTGATATAAAGTGATAAGAACGCGATCCAGTCCAGAAATCGGTATGTGGTAGGTAGACAATTACACATATTAGAGATATATAAAAAAAGTTTGTCAGTAAATTGAAAAGATCTACGAAAAATATGAAGAATAATTTTTTTTTATTCTTAACGTACTTTTATTACATAAACATTACACTTAATAATAAAAAATTAATTTTGCATGTATTTATTGAACGCTTTTTTTTTTCGTAAGAAAATTACGAACGAGTGTTGATGAATGATTTATAAGAATGATAACATGTTTTAAGAGAGAGATATCTATAAAGGAAAAAAAAAAGCATTTTTTAAAATCCGATTTTTGACAAAAAACGAATGACAAGAATATACATGAATATACACATGCCATATGCAAAAATTAATGCTAAGCATTACCTTTTGTATTATATTATCAAGAAAAATAAATAATCAAAGTAAAAACAATATTTTCAGAGATACCAGTAAAATTTAAAAAAGAAAGTATACAGCTTTCCAATCTTTTCTGCGATCGTTCGAGGATTTATCTCTCTAAATTAGTTTTTAAAGGATTACCGTGACTGAAAACGACAATAACATTTCGTAACAATGTAAAAAAGGATTTTATTCTTTACTTTAATGTATTCATTTTTTCTTGAGTCTTATTGTTATGATAATTTTTTATTTCCATGAAGAAAAAAAAGTACTGAAAAAATGTAGAAATAATAGAACGATCTTTGAACGGTCACAAAAAAATTTGTACTTATCCTTTTTCTCTGGTATACAATTCCTGTGTATGAAATTTCTTATTTTTTCCAAAGGAAATTTCTTGAAACTACAAATCTTTCAGGTAGTACAAAATACCCTGACCTGATCGAAGAGAAAGAGATAGGAAACCATAGGAAACTGCATACGTTAACAAGGACGAATGGAAAAGAGTCAACCTGGCGATCAGCTGATCGCCACCGCACTGTTCCTATACAATTCTGCCATGGCACGTGGAATTTTTTTCGACGGTCCGAAGCATGTCCGTGATGTCAGGTAATAAGAAAGATATGCGTCGTAAAAAAACTGGAAACGACTTCCACAGAAGGAAACGAAACTTTCGAGTTGACGGACGTTCCTTAGTAGTGAATTTAGAAGAATTTAATCACGTAGTGAGAAGCTGCCTATTAAGAAGCTGCGCCGTGACACAAAATAAGATATTAAATGTCGTATACGAGCGATTAAGGATTAGTAAGTCACGTTAGCGAATTAAAAATATTATAGGTATATCTTATCGTAGTATCAAGTTTAGCTCGGGCAAGATCATATCACGCGTGTTACATTTTTATACCTAACTCGAAAGATTATTTCATGCATGGCAGCCTTTATACAGTGTTCATCGAGATGGTGCGCGTTCGGCAAGATCGAATTTGCTGTACGTGCGATCGCGAACGCCGCGTTTCTTCATATAGTATTGTAGCTACTAGCATTTCCCGTCGACGTTCCGTTCATTGTACAGTTATCGCATCGCCGGGGGTATTATTTATATAGCAGCGAGGTGCTGTAGTCAGTGCAGAGTCGTTCGCGCCGCTCATCGCGGTATTCGCGGTCGACTCTCGCAAGTCGCACATCGGTGGTCAGTCGTGGTCAGTCGGACGGTGCAGACGGAACAGAAGGGAGCGTTTGGGTCGTGGTGTGTATCACTTGTGTGCCGCTCCCGATGCTCTCGCGCAAATCTGATGAGTAAGTGTCACGCTGGCCTGGCGTGAGACGTCTGGAGACGTCACGCCACCGTCGCTCGATCGCTCCTTATGACGAGTTCTCGATATTCTTGTCGCTAAACGCGATTTTTCGGCTCGATGTGACGTTCGGCGTGACGTTTGACGTCGCGGGCGACGACGACACGACTGACGGTCGTCGACGGAGCATCGTAAAGTAGTGTGTGCATTACAATGTCTTTTGAAGACGCTCGCCGTAACGAGTCGAGAATTTCAGCGTGTTGTAAGACGCTTATGGCAATAGGTCGGAGTTAGTAATTGACGCGAGTTGCAAAAAATCAGAGCAATGTCATGATAGAAGCGGAAGATCGATCGCTTAGATAATTAATTATTTATCGTATGCATTTACGTAATGATATCGTACGTTCATGCTTATCGTTTGAATATATGTTAATAAATGTTTAAAAGCCGGTCACTTTCGTCCTCGCACATGTAATCAAAATTCCAGACAGCATGATCAACCTACTTGTTGCTTTGTTATTGCAATGTTTTAACAGAAACTGTATTTATATATTGTGCGATGAGCTATTATTTAGAAAAGTACTTTTGAGATTTTGTTTTGAAGAAGATAAAATTGTTACGTAGAATTGCAAATTAAATGAGAAAAAGATTTTTTTTATTTTCGCGCCAGTTAAAAGCGGATCTTGGCACCTGATATACATATTTATATTCAAATTTGCAAATAACATTTTTCAACAAAATATCGAGATTCTGACTTGTAATGAACAATAACTGACGTCTAACGATAAAAAAAAAAGCTATTTAAATTTGTATTTAATTCAATCCTAACAAGTGTATATAGTGTAGAAAAGGAGATTATAAGACAATGAGACAATAAAACAATTTTAAAACATGCATAAAAATGTGCATATATCATGAACTTATGTGACGTAAAACGTCACACAAGTTCATGATATATTTTACTTATGTAAATATATTCCTGCGTTTGGTGTCACGTGCTTTTCACATGTTGCGTACGCAAATGGAAAAGATGATCTTTGACTTTTGGCTTAAAAATAATTCTTTACATATACACGTTTTAAAGTTTCAAAAAAGCTCTCTGCATTTAGATTTTGACAAAAAAAAGAATTATTGATTGTTAAGAAAAATCATACGAATTATATTTGCATAATGTTTTCAACACAATGTCATAAAGATAGGCACATGAGATATTGTTTCGTTCAAAATTGCACTTACAAAATATTGTTTTTTAAATGTATGTATCTTTTTCAGCGAATACATTATTTATCATAACAGAGGAATTTGCAGTAAACTATTCTATTCTGAGCAATGAGTCCACAAAGCCATAAGAACAATTTAACTCCAAAAGACATGCAGTCTAACGGATACCCTGCTGCCAATACCATGGCCAAAGAAGCAAGGAATCATTCATCTCCTTGTGAGTCAGTGGATTGTATGTGTGCTTAGATTGCCAATTTTTTACTTTTTCATTATATATTATGTTGTTTACTGCATTGTTTGCAAATGTGTTTGATATTTACCTTGCGTCATGATTGTTATAATTTTTTCAAATGTATATATATCGAAATGAAATAATTGACTATATAAAATGATCTAGATCAATTCAAACTGACAAGAGTAGTGTCCATGCGATACAATATTTACGGTGTATAACTGCAGTATTTTCAATGCTTTATGTAATATAATTATAATGAGAATTTTAGTCTTTATTCAAATTTATTTAAACGAGAGGCTAATTATTAATTGTTATCAACTTTTGACTAAGAATAGAGATCGAAACTAATGAAACTATAAATTCTATATCGAGAAAAGACTACACCTATATAAACTGGAGTTGTTAATATTGTGTCTATTATTATTGTCTGTACTGTGTCTAATATTATGAATATTGTACTTGAGTGATTATATGCATTGGGAATACTATGTCTATATACTGTATCTAGTACTGTGACGAGTTAAATACAATAATTATTTTATCGCATAGGTATCTATGCTTACCGGCTTGTACTGGCTTGAACATCATTGTTTAGCTTTATCTAAAAAGTATCAAAGTTTGTTGAATTTTGTTAAGCTAAATAATATTTGTAACAAAGTAAGTGATGCTTGTGACAAGAATGTTATCTTTACTTCGCTTGATTGTCAAAGAAAGAGTATTTATAATTAGATAAAAACTCTCTCTTATTAATTATATATATATATACATATATATATATCTTTATATTTTGTTACAATTTTCTGCATGCCATTATCAATAGTCACATTTCTAAACATTTAGTCTCACCATTTTTGCAAAATTGTGCCTTTTTTAATTTCTAGTGATTATTGCATATTTTTATAAAAACATATATTTTTAACATTATATATTTTTGCACAAATTATAAGATAAAACATTAATTGTATATTATTGTTGCAGCAATGCCTTGGTTTGGAATGGACATAGGTGGTACATTATGCAAATTAGTGTATTTTGAGCCAAAAGATATAACAAGAGATGAAGCAGACGCAGAAGTTGAAACATTAAAAAATATTCGTCGATATCTCACCAAAAATTCGGCATATGGGAAAACTGGTCATCGTGATACGCATTTACAAGTAAACATTATTAAATATTTAATTTGTAATTTCTACAATTTATTAATTATATTAACCTGTTGATAATTATTTGACGATTGTTTCAGATGAATAACGTCTGTATCAGAGGCAGACGAGGAACTTTACATTTTATTAGATTTCCTACAAGTGAAATGGGAAATTTTCTAGAATTAGCAAAATCAAAAGGTATGGCAAATCTTGTGACTACTGTTTGTGCCACTGGTGGTGGTGCTTTTAAATTCGAAGATAATTTCAAACAGGTTTGGAAAATTACTTATTTTTAGATGCGTTTGGAGAGACGTTATTAACGGCCATTCTATCTTTGTTTTACATCTAATAATCGATAAAGACAGAATAACAAATAGCGCTAGTAGCGTCTCCCCGGACGCACCTTTTGCCTCTGCCTTGTAATTGCAACATAATTATTAAAGTGATAAAATATCTTTGATAGGAAGTAAACATGAACTTGGCAAAATTTGATGAATTAGATAGTTTAATACGCGGGATGCTCTACATAGAGACTACGAATCCACACGAATGCTATTATTGGTCGAATCCTACCGATGATAGCAAATGCCAAAAAGTACCCTATGACTTTTCTGAACCATATCCTTTCTTGGTAAGAGTTTATAGAAATATTATTTTAATGTATATTTTTAATTTAAGTGGGATTACTAATTGATTATTTTCTGCAGCTTGTTAATATAGGTTCTGGAGTGAGCATATTAGCTGTATACGGACCAGAAAATTATAAAAGGATATCTGGAACGAGGTAAATTGCGTGTGTTGTATTTTTTAATTTTAATATTTAATATCAAGTGTAATATCGGTACATATTTAATTACAGCTTAGGTGGTGGTACATTCTTAGGATTATGTTGTCTTCTCACTGGATGTAACACCTTTGAAGAAGCAATAGAGCTAGCAACAGGCGGCGATAATACAAGAGTAGATAAATTGGTTAAGGATATATACGGTGGTGATTACGGTCCTTTCGGTCTTCCTGGAGATTTAGTTGCGAGCAGGTACAATTGTAAAGTAATTACTAATTTCTATTCTAAGACATAATTTCTTTATTTTAATTCTTATTCCTTTTTTTATTATACTTAGTTTTGGACAAATGAATTCCAAAGATCGTAGAAATACTGTCACAAAGGAAGATCTAGCGCGTGCAACTCTTGTTACTATCACAAATAATATCGGTTCTATCGCGCGTATGTGTGCTGTTAATGAAAAAATTGAAAGGGTAATGAAAATATATTTATTATACATATATAATTTTGTGAGTGATTATGTAAAATAATTTTTGTTTTTAGGTCGTGTTTGTAGGCAATTTTCTCAGGGTAAATCCTATATCAATGAAGTTGTTGGCCTATGCTATGGATTATTGGTCTAAAGGAACTTTAAAAGCTCTGTTTTTGGAACATGAAGTAAAGATCTAACTAAAAGTTCATATTTTTTTAAATGCCACTCAGATATTACAGGATGTTATATCTTCATTTCAGGGTTATTTCGGCGCGGTGGGATGTCTATTACAATTTAATGGCGAATCCAGTTAAACAATGGGGAAACAGTCTTATAACATATAGCATTCCATATGACCAATTTCGCAGAACATTTCTCGAGTGAGCAAGATTATTCGATATAATTATATTTATTTTTGTTACATATTTTTCAATTATTCATAAATCTACAATTTATTGAGTAACATTTATTATATTAATATGGAAAGCTTCGATATTTATGTAGTAGGATAAGGGATATTTGTCAAGTGTCATTGTATAATTTATCACTATTTTAATGTAGAAAAAAATAATGTGTCAAGTTATTTTTTTTTTTGGTCGGAGGATAATTATTTTGCTATAATTGTTTGATTACGAGCACAAATCTAACACAATTTGGTAGATAGAATTTATAATGGACCAAATCCAAAAGGATTAAGGATAGTCTCTCCTTCCAATGTTTGTTACATGCCGCATAGACTAGTTCTACCTCATAATTTGTAAAGTTTTTCTACAAATGTGCACACAGGTTTTTATGTATATAAATAACATAGCAATCGTTATTACACTTGTACATCTTTTCTCTTCGTAAGTTTATAATTGAATAAAACTATTGTGTAGCGGTAATTTCGTACTAACTGTTAATATTAATAATTTTATTGTTAATGCATTGCTTGTTACAAGGTGAATCTTTTAAAACGAATTTTTAATTGAATATTAATGCAACTTTTTTAATGAAATATTATTCATACGCGTCTGATAGTTGCATAAATTAAGAATTTTTTATACCGCTCTAGTGAAATCACGATTTATAATAAAAAAATATACGCTTTCGTCAGAATAGCAATATGATGCAATACATACATGAAAATTGTTGAAGATGTGTCAAACATTAAATCTTGTTTTTGAGAAATATGATGTGGTGTAATGTGAATGAACAAAAAATATGATTGAAATATCGATATTATAATTAAAAAATTCGTACATTATTTTAGAAAGTAATAACCGTGATATATTTATTTTCTATTTGAAATGTGACAATTAATAAATCTTTGGATATATTATTTATAATTTATCGAGTAATTTTATATTACCACAAGCGTATCCTTATACAAGCGGATAGCTCATTTTTGTTGCAATGTATTGTGGAAGCATGCCAAACAAACTTAAATAAAATATCATTTTAATATACAATAAAAATGTGTATGTATATCCATACTTACTATAAAAATAAAATTTTGTGATAAATAGATAAGAATATGCAAATATATACATTCTGAATTTATTAGTTTCAATGATATGTATGTATCTCGTATTGTAATGTATATACTTTATAAATATTTTATATTTGAAATCCAAAGTCATATGAAATCTAGATATATAAATACTTGGGAAGGAACAAGAATACAAGACATGGTTACTTAGCAACGTTCTTACAAAACAGTGCCACTCTAAATGTCAAACAGACTGATTTGTACAGACATAAGTCAACTGATGTGAGACTATAGATTTTGTAGTGATATTATTACTATTATTATTCGTTCCTTTCTTTATTTTTATATTCTTTAAACAGATCGGTATATTATCTAAATCTTTTTACGTCTTTTTCGATACTAATAAAAATGGTAAGTTAATTAATCTTAATTATTAACCTATTATAAGTTTTTTTTTTACAATAGATTATTATTATTATTACATATTTGTGTATCAATATTAATTTTATCAATATTTTATTAATACATACCTTTTTACTACAAGCATATTTTTATATGACATGTATGATTTTTCTCTATCATATCCTATGTTTTCTTATTTCATCCTTATCTCTAAATTAATATATTTTTGAACTGTGTTTTCATTATTTAAAATTGATAAAAAGGGTCCTAAGAAAGCAAAAGGGAAAGCGACAGACAATGTTGATGGGGTAGACACAACAAAAATGAATCGGGAACAATTAGAGATATATGCCCATAAGATATTAGAAGAGATGGAACGGGAACGAGAGGAAAGAAACTTTTTTCAACTAGAAAGAGACAAACTACGAACTTTTTGGGAAATTACAAGACATCAATTGGATGAAGCACGTGCTGCAGTCAGGTATTTCAATGATAATAAATGACCATTTGAATCACGGATGAATGTAAATGTGTTTAAAATTCTTCAGAAATAAAGAACGTGAAAAAGAGGAATTAGTAGAGAATCACGAAGCTGAACTCAAATTATATAAGCAGAAAGTGAAGCACTTAATGTATGAACATCAGACTAATTTATCTGAAACTAAAGCAGATCATCTGGTTGCTCTTAAATTAGCACAAGACGATCATATAGTGCAAGAAAATGAGCTTATTAAAGATAAAACCGAGCTGAAAAAAGTACAGAAAGAGCATGAATTGGCGTACATGAACGAAATTCGCGCATTAAAATTGGTAAGGTACACAATTATCTCTCTCTCTCTCTCTCTCTCTCTCTCTCTCTCTCTCTCTCTCTCTCTCCCCCCCCCCCCCCCTCCCCTATCTCTCTCTCCCCCTCCCTCCCTTCCCCCCTTACATGTTCATATTTATTAAATTGTAATTGAGATAAAAATCACTTATTTTTATACATACGAAATGCAGCATAATTCAGAGGAAATGAACAATATGATAAAAAAATTTGAATCTGAAGCAATAGAATTGGAGCAAAAGTACGAACAAAAATTAACAAGTCAGTACGAGTCCTTAATATTGAAGCATCGCATGGAAATAACTGAAGTGGAGGAGAGAAAAAATGCGCAAATCGCAAATCTAATAAAAAATCACGAGAATGCATTTACCGAAATGAAAAATTATTACAATGATATTACTCTGAATAATTTATCGTTAATTAAGAGTATGAAGGTGAACTTTATCGTTATTAGAAGTTTTACAATTAATAGAGTCATGGAAAATAAGAATTGAGAAATTTTCAATCAACGTAGCAAATCTTTTAATAGGAACAAATGGAAATGATGAGAAATAATGAGGAACGTATGAAGAAACAAATACGGGAATTAACAATAGAAAATAAAAAATATTTGACTGACTCGAAAGTTTTGCAGGAAACAACTACCGAACTTAATCGTCAACTTGCAAATTACGAGAAAGACAAACAATGCTTAGTTGTTGGTATTTAAAACACATCTTTATATAATAACACGCTATGAAAAACTGAATTAATAATTATTACAGAATACGAAACGGAGATTGTCCGCAGTGACGAAAGATTTAGAAAATTTAAAATGGGAGAATGAAGTTCTCGAGCTGCGTTTTGAAAAAGTAAGATATTTAAACATACAGTACATACAATATCTTCGAAATATTTTACATATACCTTCCTAATATATTTTATTTTATTTAGTGCCAATCTGAGAGAGACGAATTACATTCTAGATTTGTGTCGGCAATATTTGAACTGCAACAAAAAACGGGTTTAAAGAATGTACTTTTAGAAAAAAAATTAGAAAAGTTATCGGATTTATTGGAGCAACGGGAAGCGCAAATTAGCGAAGTGTTAGCTGCTGCTCAATTGGATCCTGCGGCGGTGGTTAATATGAATAAAAAATTAGAGGTATATAAAAACGCAATCTTATCACAATTGTATGAATTAGATACGAATACAATAATAATGCAACATTTCTTTGTAGGATATGCTTAATAGAAAAAATACTGCAATACAAGATTTACAATATGAATTAGCAAAAGTATGTAAAGCACATGACGATTTGTTAGCAGTTTATGAAAGTAAATTGCAAGAATATGGAATTCCCAAGGCTGAACTTGGATTTCAGCCTCTAAGGATGAGGATAACCGGTGCAAAGTTGGGTTTAGGTCCAGCTGGTCTCGTTACCGCAAATCAGTGATACATATTTTTTTTAATGTTTATGTATAATCGATTTATGCCAATTTTATATGTCTTATCTGAGAAAATTGTATCGATAAATGACACGTTTTATCATTATTTTTTAAAGATTTTAATGAAAGAGATAATAAGTTTTTAGTAAGACATATAATTTGATATGTATCTAATATTGTATAGGATATTTGATAAGTACGTGTATTTAATATACCTAGCGATGAACTTGGAGAAACCTGATATGTTACGAGTATTTTTAAACTTAATAATTTTAAAAAGATCGATGTATAGAATTTTTTGACACAGAGTTTTATTCTGTAAAACAAATACACTTTAGCTTATGCGTTATGTTTTCAAAAATTACATAAAATTATCACAGAGAATGTACAGAGTAGATCGTATTATGCCTGGAAGTTGTATAGCTTCAGTAATTATTCAACATATTTATGCTTTTGCTTTTAATTATATTTCTTGTCGTAATTAATGTTGGCAATGAAAAATCTGATATCGTATATATTCGGCTCATATATTTTCATGATTCTATTACTAATCGCATAACTCCAATTTACGCTCCAACATCTTGTCAGATATTCAACAACTGGCAGGCACAAATACATTGAAAACACATTCATATATAGATATTAACATATAGATATTAGACACTGACTATAGTCTAACTTGTAAAACACTGTAAGTCAAATACATCAGGTCACATGGTTAATAAATTTCACTGGCTTTATGTAAAATATTTCCCCATCCGTTTCTCACGCAATAATAGTAATAGTCTGTAAACTTTTCCATTTTATAATACTTTACGGTTAAGTGAAGAAATAATTTATCATTTGCTCACAGATTTGTAAATATTATACAACACTTTGTATAGATATAATTTTATAATAGATATATAGATGTGTATGTGTATATATATATATATTATACATATATATTTATATATATGCTTATATGTATATTATGAATTTTGGCACAATAAGAAATAGAATCACAGTTGAAATCATTGTACATTATAAGATTTACACATGGTTTTGTTAATATGTCGGTTTCATGTTCGTGAAGTGTATATTACACGCTTACTACGATATGAAATGCACATTGAAACGTGTAAACACAATCAAACTTGAAACCTCACAACTAGGCTCTACATTATAGAAAATTACATAAATTACGAAATTACGAAATAATATATAATATAAAAAATGCAGGTTTCGGAAAAGATTACACGAAACGCTAAGAGATTAATCGGATATAATTCTGAGCACTGCAAAATTTAGAATTTATATGTACGCGTGTTTTTTTTTCTTTGAATTAGGCTCGTTTGGTTACCACCTTATCTGGAAAGAACATCCGATATACGCTTTTTTCCTTTTCATTAAATTTTTACGGCCGTGTCGAGTGTGTATCAGAGTCGTAGAAAAAATAAGCATCTGTTTTAATTTTAGATATTAGTGGTCCATTGTTCCATTGTAAACCTTTTCCTCGAGTTCCTCGAAAAATTCGCTCGCTACATTTACAGGTGCATCGACTTCTAGCTTGTGTGCGCACATTAAATTTAAATAAAAACGTAATATATGCTTAATATTGTTAAGCAGTATGACGCATTCATATATATAAAATTTAATGTGATGTAGCAACACACTTTCATTTAATTTTACTACTAGCGAGATACTTACGCATTACGTATGATAAATAAAAGGAAAATATATGAGCATATATATCATCTAGATAGGTGAAAGGCAAGATACACTTTCAAGTAGTTCAAAATTACCATATTTGCGTAGATAGCAGATGTAAATATACAACGATTATCTGTGTGGTTTGTGTACACACTTGGTCTGTGGTCTGATAAGAATTGTGTTAATTAATTTAAATATTGAATTGCAAATTTTGTACTTTACTGGTATTGAAAAAGAACCGTAAGTTTACGGAAACTTACTTTAATAAAATTAATTAAAAGTTCTCAAGAATAATTTATCGCCTTTCGAAAAGATTATATATTACAAAAAATGTGTGCGCATACGATGTAACATAAACATGTTCTATTTACTTTATGAGTTATTTGATTTTTTTCATTCAGCTCATTATCCTCCAGTTTGGTAGAACATCAGCAATCAACGTAGAAAAGTATGTTGTTACATTGTAAACTACGGTTTCGCCGGCGGCCAAAATAGCTCCAAAGGAGCCATAAGTACCGTAATCTATTATGCTATGATTGCACGCGGACAAGACCGCCAGATCTTTTCCCGGGCCTTTGCCGTCATTTTCTGATACAAAACTGATTCGGTGACGTTTGCTGCGCAAGTTATACTTGCACCAGGCGATATTATCACTCGTTACTACGAAGATCACGTTGTTGTATTTACCAGCGAAATAATCCATCGCCGACAAGTAGTAACTTACCGGCGCCGGCCGCGTTTTTAACTTCTGCCAAAGATAATCCACATAGTCGGTTCTGCGTACGTGTACGCTGACGTAGGTCGGCGAGGACAAGTTGAATTTTTCCGCTACGCGTTTCAACACTTTCTCTGCGTAGATCCTTAAACTCGGTTTGAACGTAAACTCTCGTCGTACGTCATCTAGCCAGACTAGTATCAAAGACCAATAAGCCGCGTGCCTGAAAAAAAATTCCATTTTTATTTTATTTAAATATATATATATATATATATGTTTAATATTAAAAGGAACTTATATTTTTTATTCTGCATATTTTTATTCGTGCATTTATTTCATTCAGTAGTAGTTCGTGCTGTAAAATCTCTAAAAATGCTGACCTAGGTATTATGATGTTTTGCTCCGTACTATTCCACTGACTGAGCGAATTAACCACCTGGCCAACGTCCAGGGTACATCTGCCGATGTAGCTGAGTGGCGGGATGCTGAGGTTCTCAAAGTGCTCCTCCAAGGTTTTGAGAATGCAACGCGGCATGAATGGCTCTAGGCCGGTTCTCCGGGCGGTTGCCCACACGGAAGCGTACTCCCAGATCTGGTTACCCAGTCTACCACCCTGCATCGCCGAGACTATGCCATATTTCGGACAGGGGTTGTTGCGCAATTCTGACGCCGGTATACGGACGTTGTTCTTCAGGTTCGTGCGACAGAGCGCCTGCTCGTACGCGGAGATCTTCATATGACGCGCCGGCGGGGTCGACGTGTACATGGGAAACAGGAAGACGTGGATACCGAATACCACTAACAGCGCGAGGACTATCGCGCTCGCAAGCACATGCTGTTGAGCGTGACTCATTCTCTCTGCTAATTTTGCGCCACGCAAATTTTCAACGACGCGATGCTGTTTTTTTTTTTTCTATCGGTCACTTTTTCTCCCTCGCCCTACGTATTTGCTCTCTACCCTCTCTTCACTACTTTGCTCTGCTTCTCGCTTGCTCTGCCTCTACTGGTCGGCCGCTTGCTTCTCGTGCTAGTCCGGCATTTCGTATCTACAGGTGTGCCATGTCCTTTGCTTTCCGACGTACATCTTAGTAACAATAAATGAGCGATTAATGAGCGATAAATGTACGGACAATATTTTAGAATTACGTTCAAGAATATTCGAGCACACATCGTTTAAAATATATCTCATTTTGAACATTTTATGCGTTATTTTAAGATTACAACGTTCAGACACAATTATGTAATGTAGAACAGTAATAAGGACAGAAAATTATAGAAATATGGTTTTAATATGATACGATAATAATGTGAATTCAGTTAAATCTTTTTATATTGTTAAGAATAGTTAACAATGGGAGTGTTAAATTATGGAAGCATTAAATTATATATTCAGAAATTTTAATTATATGGACTTAAAAAAATCGTATTAGATCCGAAGTTAACATTCTTCCACTTATAATTGCACTGCATATATTTCATTCTAGAATATCCTACCCTTTATACTTAATCAATATGCGCATAATCGCTATCCATAGAAATGTGTCAAGTAATTTAAACGTAATTTAATTCGTTTCTCAGACAAATTAAATTGCTTCTTCTTCAGATAATTCTTCAGAAAAAGGACATGGCTGACACACAATTACTATGCAAAGCTCGAGTAAAATTTCATGCAAGCAGCGGTTTTGGCAAACATAAAATTATAATATCACCTTCGTAATTATAAAAAAATTTAGTAAATCGAGACGGCTAATAATTTATTGAATGCAATTTTCGATGTGAACCATGCTGTAACTTGTTTTCCGTATACTAATACAGCAGCTATGTTCGAATGATATTAGTAAAAGAGCATCATTAAACATGAAATACCTTACGGCATTCTTAAGAGTTTGAAAAAATGAAACATATTATACCGTCATATTTAATAACATAAATTTTCTATCTTAATAAAGAAATTCTACAATATAAGAAAACTCTATTCAGAGTATCGGTACACTGATCCTCCATAGTCCAATTGGGACTTTGAAGACCCAGCTGAATTTTCAATTTTTAATTATTCTGTCTCAAATTTGGATATGTAGAAAAAATTTAAAAAGGGTCATATCATTGTAAAATTCTTGAATGTTGAGAGTATCAAAATTTTTTCAGATTTTTTTACAACCCAAAAACGCTTTGGAAAACACAATTAGGCACCAGTGATCCAATTGGACTAAGAAAATAGTGACAAAAACTTTGAACCACGAGGGTTATTAAACAATGTTATGAAACAATGGGATATAAATAATCTTGGCGGCTTAGAAATCGCTAGAGCGATCGAAAGAAAAATTTCATGCGTATATGAGAAATCCAATTGCACACATGGAAAATTATGATATCTTTCGTATTTCTTTTGCATCTTGTTATCGATCTTTCGCAATTTTTAAACATACAAAGCTGCGCACCGCAGTTAATCTTGCTGCATCTTCATGACAAACATTAATCCTTTCGCGGAAAATCTGTAAATTTGTAAAGTCGCGTAGTAAAATTTATTACGTGTCGTAAGGACAAAAATTACGTGCATGACACACATTCTCCTCGAGATCGCTACCGTCAAAGCGGCGCATGCAGCTCGTCGAGAACAATCGCTGAGAGCCGGAGACATTTAAGAAACGCACTAAATGATTCTTACGTTTAAGGTCACAAGGTCTCTCAGTTTCCTACGCTACGACAGAAATCGAGGAGCTGTGTGTACATCAACGTGTCTTCTTACTTACCTTTTTCTTACGTTTAGATTTTTAGAACATAAGACAAGAATTACAGTACTTGGGGTGGTTTTCAGCAAGAGAAACACAGATGTGACACAGTGTAACACAGCGAATCTAATCCTTATTTATTTCCCATCCCACTGTGTTACAAACTGTGTCCTTTGTTGAAAAGCACCCTTATTCGCGACAAGACGAGCACAGCGAGCCGCAGGATGGTGATGATAAATCTTCACAATCTTCGCTTCATCACCTTTCGCAGACTCACCTCGTCCTCCCGGCGCGAATTTAGCTCCAGGAAACTTGACTCCGAGATATATCGAATCAACCTCTCGCGTGAACGAATTCCTCTACTCACCCGTTCCTGCGAACTCGGCGCGATTCGCGACGCACAGGTCGAGCCTCGCAACCAGCTGCGAGTTCGGCTCGCTCATGTTTGCCCGGCACGAACGCTTGTTGCACCCCGGCCGTCGTAGATCAGTCGTCACCGTTGCCGTCGCTGTCGCCGTCCCCGTTTCCGCCGCGAGCGCCGTCCTCGCACCGCGGCTACCTTCAGGGCGGCGACGCTCACTTCACGTCCAATCGCCTCTCGCGCGCTCTCCTCCTGGCTTCCTCTACGACGTAACGATACCTGGAACAGTTTCACGCACTGGCGCTATCCGACTCGGACGGGGGCGAGCTGCCATCCTGTCGGGGGTGGTTGGGGGATGATGACGTCACCCACCTCACACAGCCGGCGGCGCCGTGATGCCGTGATACGTATAGATTTTTAATTTTCTGTTGGCGCCTTTCCGAGACCGCCATCTGCCGTCGTCGCCCGTTAGTAATTGGCGTCTCCCGCGCTCCCGCGTAATATTGCGAAAGCGTCTCTTCTGTTGGAGTGGAGGGCACGTAAATACCGAAATTCGAGGAGGATTCATGGAAAAAAAAAGGAAAACAATGACACGTAAGCGTTATGCTAGATTTTAATTGCGTATTACATACTACTTCTGTTGTATCGCGAGTGCACTGCACGTTTTGTATCTATTGGAAGCAAACGAACGCCGCAGAGACGCGTAATTTATATGATTGTAGGTTTGTTTGTTATTGCTGCACTTGACTTCTTTGAAGAAGCAAGAGTGCGTTCCGTATCACGTCTAATGAGCACGATGTTCTTGTCGTTCATCGAATATTAGAAAAGGATAAAATGATATATATATATATAATACGTGATACGGAAAAAAATCCTAGAATTATTTTTTCTTTTTGCTATCGTCAAATATGTACTTTGTTTCATTTTAAGTATAAAAAGTGTACACTCTAGTTAGTTCAATTATAAAAAAATAAGCCTTGACATGCAACACAGTTCTTCGAGGGAATGCTTAAGAGTGTTCTTAGGTCCTAAGGACGTCTGCCCGAAGAACTTTGTTGGATTATTTTTATTTGTCTCTATGCATCTTTTGCTCGCATAATGAAACAACTATAAGCAGATTTCGCAAAGAAAAAAACGAAGGAAAAACGAGCGCAGAAAAAAATATCACGTTGAAGTGGACATTGTTAAATAATAAAAATCGAACAGAAAGATGTGAAACCGAGTAGAAAAACATGACTTTACGCGTACCAACTTTGCATTTATGACGTTACATAATTCAAACTTGAAATTGAAGTTACGCCGTACACTTCTCGTCGCAGCAGTCGGTTTTACCAGCGGTTGCTATTATCTAAAGTGAATAATTTATTAATCGATTAATAGTGATTTACAAATTTATTTTTTCGATCACATTTATTCTTTTCGCAGGAAAAATTCGCACGCTTTTATTTTCAATTCTGTTCAATTTGAATATAGTCACGTGATATCGGCCGACCAATGGGGTGATACCATCCGCGCTTCCTTTTCCGTCATTACCGATCGTGGCATTCGCGACGCCATAGTTTTTTCGCATCGGCTTTTTTTCGAACGTCGTTCGTCGGTTATGGATGTCTGATTTAATCTCTTTTGTTTCTTGGAGTTCGGCTCGGAAAGGTCTTGTTGATGTGTTCGTATTATGATTAGGATATTAAATAATATGTGGGATATTACGAGTTACTGAAATATCAATCGTTTTCTGTTCATCACAGGTACGGGCGCAAAACATGGTTGCCATAATGCAACGATTCAGGCAGAGAGCAACGAATATTGGTGAGTGCTTATACAATATTTAGCGTGTTTGTGTTGAAAAAGTTTATTCCATTGAGTATCGCAAAATATAATTGACATGCTACGCGAAAGCCTGTATTCTGACAAAATAATACGGCATTTCACAAGTATAATCTACCTCCCCCTCCCCGCTGCCTCTCTAACTTTGCGGAATCTCAATTTTAATGCGATTTATGTTTATTTCTGCCAATGTAGTTTAATTTTAGTCTTAATTTAACTCGCTTTTTCTAATTCTAAAGATTCAAAAAAGATAAAGAATAAATTAATCCGAAATTAAAGTTAATCTATACACAAACACATATTAATAAAAACGGACATTATCGTTTTATCTCGCAAAGAGAAATGGCAAGTCCATCAAGTGATCTGCATGTCTAGTCTATCAACCTTAATTAGGATTATCAATATCGAGTAGAAATATATATTCATCACAATGCAAAAATCTGGAGACACGGTAATGTCTCGGTTATATTTACTCCGAATGAATGGATATTATTATATCGAATATATATATATATATCGAATTTGATTAATCGAAATAAAAATGTCTATTCATTATTTGATATCAACAACTTTATTCATAATCAAAGTTTCGTTATCATTATATCATTGTACAAATATAATATATAGAAAAAAAGCTTAAACGCAACGATAACGAAACTTTGGTTTAATAGTTACAAAATAGTCTAATCTACAAAATTCTATTGTATTTTCTCGCTTTCATTATTCGCAAGTAAGAAACCCGTCATTCAGATCCAAGTAAATCGTATATCTTTTGATCAGGACACGCGATATGTTATTTGAGTTTGTTAGCATAGATTGTATCTGTTTTAGAATATTCAAAAATTATTATTATTTATAATATTATATGTTAAAAAATTATCTGATCACAAATTATTTTGTATACAGATAAAACGTTATCAACATTAAAATGTTTTGAAGAATGAAGATAATAAGGGAACTCACATAATACGATTCATTTTTTTCGAAGTTACGTGAATCGTTACAAGAAAAAACGTTTCATCTAAGACCCCCTACAGATTAGTGGTGTTGTCCATGGAAGTAAATTCTCATGTAGCGAAATGGATCGCAATTACGTAAGTATAAGTATTTTTGAACGAAAATAAAAATGTGTGATATTTTCTTCTGTTGTTTCAACAATTTTCCAGGAGATTACGTGGTTACCTCGTAATTGCATTCGATTCCGTTTTCACTACATAAAAATTTACTTGCATGGGCAACATTTGCCTGTAAGCAGTCTTAGATCTTAGATAAAACGTATTTTCTTGTAATAATTTATATTACTCTATTAAAAAATTAACTTTAGTTTGAGATATCGTTTCCTTTAAAATATTAAAAAAATTAACATTTAAAAAAATAATTATTTTTAATAGAAAGTTATTTATTAAGCATTAAATTTATTAAGCAAATAATATTGGTAAAAAAATGTACTCTTAGAAATATGATATTATTTTTGTCATTTTTGTTTCACGATCATTAAAAACTTTTTAAATTATAACGATTTTAATATTTTATACAAAATTATAACAAATTCAGAATAATTAATCAAAAGTGACATAACTCGAGAAAATATTATCAGCAGTTTATATTTATCTAGCTCAGTTAAACAATTAAATTTAAAATAAAATATTTTTTTGAAACTTTGTCTACTTGTTTTGTTTACCTTTTAAAGTTTTGTACAAGACTTTTTGTTATTTATGAAAACAATACGACATAAAATATGTCATTTTTTAACTAAGGAAACGATATTATTTATTAGACTCTTAAAATATAATTTTTTAAATAACTTTTGTAGACATTAAATTATTTTATACTTATCATCGCGGAATGGAAATACAAAACAGACTTGCTTCTGCAGAAATTACATCCAGATATTAGGAATTGAACGACACCATATTTTTGCTCTTAATTTTACAAAAATTGTCAAGCCAATGTTACCGTAAATTGGAAAATTGCAAAGATGAGGAGTCTGTTAAGAATTTTTAATGTTTATTAACTGATCTTGATTTCGCAAATCGTCAAGCAGCAATAATGCGAATTCTTTTCACGTAAATTCGTATCGTATTTTCGCGTTCTTTTTTGCCGTATCACGCGATGCTTCCCTGAAGTCTCGATTCTTCTCTTTTGTGCCTGTCAACTGCATTGGCCACGGCCGAGTTTTCGATTCCTGCGGAATCCTTTCGACCACGAAATAAGACGCGGCGGAATGAGTCGCGATAGGAAATTTCTCGGACAAGTTTTATATCGGGATCACGAATGCACGTCCCGAGGGGTATTCTCGCGTGTTCTTTCGTAGGTGCGGATTACTGACTTCTTGAGGATTGAAACTAATAATTGAATTGATTACTACAAGAAAAGACCTGATCACAAATAAACTTGATAAACCAGGAAACTTTATACTTCTTTTTGTAGGAGCATGTTGCATAAAATTTTTAAAATATTTAGCTGACGGTAGAATTTAGTAAAATCGCACGAATTGCGCATATTAGGATTTCGGAGAGTAAAATTCGGAGTTTATTGTAATTGACGAAAGGAAAATTTTTCGAAGAAGAAGAAGAAGTTTTAGCAGTTATCGGACTTCCTTTTTTCCTCTGTTTTATTCAGACTTCGCAAGTATAGAGGAGCACACAGAAATCACAGCTGCATTTTATTTTTCATAATAAAAACTGGCGTATTAGATGTCGATAAAATTAGAAATTCAACCCGCTCTGAAATTATGCTATTTCAAGTTTCCTTGCTTATTCATCTCGTTAGCTTTCACGTAAAAATCCGTCTCTGTGCTTGCGCAGGTGCAAGCATCCTGTGACATGCATACGTATGGTCGGGGGCGCCTTGTATGCATCACGTATCGCTTTAGAGGAGAAAGAGGGAAAGAAAGGGAGAGAAAATACCGATTGAAATCGCGAAACGGCGCGGCGTGCGGCGGTAACGGGTCCATGCTATTGACAGACCGTCTTTTATAGATATGTGCATCGCAATTCTTCCGCAATTTCACCGTACCCCTTTTGGAACTCCTTTTTCCACAACCCGACGGCGGCAATCCGACATTCGATATCGCGCGCTACCATCACCCCCTTTATCTCACCGTAGTCTTTTCATTTTCCTTCTTTCCCGCTCGGTTTAGCCGACAAGGCTTCGTGCTTGTTCCCTTGCGAATGCATCTTCGATTCGAGGATTTTGATATAAAACGGTATTTTTATACTATAATATATTTGAATAGTTTATAACGTTATATATGGCAACAGTTGTTCAACATTAACGTAATAGAAATCATTAATTTATTTATGTAATGTGAATCAAAGATATACATATTTCTATTATTTCAACGTTTACGAATAGTTATTACATTTCTACTTTGAGACGAGAACTTTGAGTTTTTCATGATTCCAGCTATCTTTAGTAAGGACGCTTATATATGCCTAATATTATTAGAATAATGTGACACAATTTTCGTACATATATATTTTCTGTTCGATATA